GTAGGTTTAATTGTTTTTTGTGAAGTATGAGAGCATATTTGCCATGCTATATATTTATAGGCAATTTGCAAAGAGAGTTTTAGTTAAGTGAGGGTTAGATTTTTATTTGGTTTTGTACATTTAGGCACCAGCTATGGACTAGGAAGGGGAAAAAATAGAAGAAAAAGCTTCATGTTAGGCAGTTGTATCGTGTAATTTTATAGATCTTAGTAATTTTTTGTTCCTTTTTTTTTAAGGTTATAGAATAGACTCGATTAAATTTGTTATATTAGAACTTCTCTTTATATTATACCAAAATGTGTATTGTAAAATATGTGTTAATTAAGAAGAAAGAAAAATATGTGTTCCGTAACGGGACCATAGCATCCCTCGTTGTTAGAACACCTTTTTGTTGTAGCATAAGAAGAAAGAAAAATTAATTGTTTTACTTTTATATCTAAGGATGGCTCCATAGAATTTTCGTGGCTTTTAATGGTGGAAAGGATAAAACTTAAGTATACTCATTTTGCCAACTGAGATATTGATAGTAAGTTTGAGAAAATTGCAAATTTGGTCCCACTCGTTTTGGCCAAAATCATAATTGATACCAGAAGTTGCATTGTGGTCCTTTTTATTTTTTTGTTACACAAATGGGTCTTATAGCCGTCAAAACTAGCTAATAGGGCTCACTTGAAGACATTAGCAACTTTTGGGACCAATTTTGCAATTTTTTAAAAGAAAATGAAAAAACGAGTTCTTCAAGTTCGTTTAGAAGAGAAGTCAAGTTATTTTGATGTTTAATTCAAAAGTGAAAAGTTGATTTTTTGTTTAAATAGTTTGACTTACTTCTAAGGAATTTACTGAATGAAATTTAATTTTTTTTTTTTTTTAAATTTATCTTATTGTGCACTTTAATTTTCAAAATTGTATGCCAAAATATTGTCCATTTTTCGAAACATTTGATGTGTCATATTTTCTTGAAACATATAGGTATCAATAAATTTGTTTAAAAATGAAAATATATTTTAAAATACAAACTTGCTTAAAAGAATAAGTTAGAAAATTTATTAAAAAAATTTTTTAGAAACATTTTTTCAAAATTTTTTTAGAGAATGTTAAAAAAGTATATTACCATGCTTCCCTAAGAATACGTTTAATTTTTTTTAATAAATTATAAAAGATAAATATAACTAATATACAATTCTTTCACAAGTTTGATTTTTTCGCAACTTAAAATAGTAAGTGAGAAAATTTATTTAATTTATTTCTATTAAGAACATATTTTCAAAAAGTGTTCAGTAAATGTTAAAAAATTATATTATCATTCTTTCCAAACAATACGTTTAGTTTGTTTTTTAATAAATTATAAAAGATAAATATAACTAATATACAATTCGTTCACTTTTTTTTATGTTGCAAATTACAATTTTACTTGATTAGATAGAATAATTATTTAATCGAGTAACTTAACAAAGCAGTATAAAATAATTTTTTAATTAGTTCATGATAAATAAGATGCGAAAAAATTATACGATATATTTTTCTATATATAAGTGGGAACAAATGTTCATTTTCACTTAATTTAATGTCAAATTTTGTTTTATTATGCTTAAAATTGACATTTTTTTAAACAAATATGTAATTTGTAAAAATAAATAGATTTCTAATTTATGGTTGTCAAAATAAAATTAATAAACAAAAAATTATTAAAATATTCTTTCTAAGAAAATAAACAATAAAAAGAATTAGACTAGATTGATCAAAGAAAAATATACCTAGAATGAGAGAACAATGGGTTCAAGATGCCAAGATTTAATTGTGTCTCCACCATCACTACAAAAAAAATTGTTATATTCTAACAGAAAATCCTATAATAATATATTCCAATGGAAATTCCAACAAATATTTCAATGGTATAGCTTCCGTTGGAATGATTCTAACGGAATTTCCAATGAAAATATTCCGTTGGAATGTATTTTTCATTGGAATTTTAGATGGAATTTGATGATTCCAACGACTATATTTCCAATGGCTTTTGGCCGTAGGAATTTCCGTTGGAATTTTTATTTCCACCACCGTTGGAATCGTCAAAATCCAACGGAAATTCCAATAGAAAACTCATTCCAACGGAATATTTTTGTTGGAATTTCCGTTGGAATTATTCCAACGGAAATAATAACATTGAAATATCCATTAGAATTGCCGTTGAAATTCTATTGGAATATATTTCTGTTGGAATTTCATTATTTTCTTGTACTCAGAATTGATAATGGGAAAGATTTCCTTCTTCCGGTGGTATAAACCGATCAAGTAGAGTTTCAACTATAGCAATGAAAGATTCTACTTAACCGTATCCTTTGATGACTATAATGAAAGTTTTATACACGTGTCAATTTTTGTGTCAATTTTTGTGGATGATTGTCTAGTCAAGATGTAAGCGAGATTGTAAATTATGAAGTCCACGAAGTTTCGGTTGCATTTTATCACAGACTAGAGAAATTCTAGGTTAAGAAAAACAAGTATAATACATTTTACGCTAACAATGTCTTATTCAAAGTGAAAGGACCAAACATTATTAGAATTAGAATATATTTCAAACATTTCACCACTCTCTGAGTCTTGACCCACTCGACCTCATCACACTGCATTCCAACACTCAATTCCACACCAAAAACTTAAAAACATCCCTCTTATTAAATTAAAAAAAAAAAAAGACGAGTATTTTCTTATTCATTTATTTTCTTCATGCGGCTACGCATAAGTAGGTGCCCCAGGGGAGTAAACTAGGACGGTGCGAAGCAGCGTCTCGACTGCAAGTATGGGGTACAAGATCGCGCCACCTGGCGGGACAAACGTGCATGAGCCGTCCATCGGCAATGACACGTTGATGTAGCACAGCTGCAACTTGTTGGTATGTATTTCGACTACACTGAAAGTGAAGGAGTAGACGCCTTCATTATCTGTGGTCGTGTTTTTTAGCAAGACATTGCCGATGTAGGAATTCGGGCACACGACCTCTACTTGTGCTCGGGAGATCACCGAGTACGTGTGGGCCACGGATAGGGAGGAGTTGGGACAGGTGGCGACACCGGATAGGGTGACGTCGTATTGAAGGGCTGATAGGGTAATGCCCGACAACGCAATCGAGACAAGGGTTGTGAGAAGGAGAATGTTGGAGAAGGGAACCATTATTATTATTATTATTATTATTATTATTATTATTATTTTTTATTATTATTATTTTTTCTTTTCTTTTGAATATCGTTATGGTTTTTGTGGTTTTGATTATTGTTTCTGAGACTTGAGAACATTTTTTGGCCATGCAGGTTTATATGGGAGGGGGAAAGGTGGAGATGGCAACTAGCAAGTAGATTGAGAGTTTAGTTAGGTGAGGAGTTTGACTTTTATTTCTTTTTAATACATGTTAGGTTCAGCTATAACTCATAAATTTGGGTTCTTTTTTATTTACTTATCACAAATTTTGGTGTGAGGTGGCCTAGTCGTTACTCTCATACTATGAGAACAAAAATGAATAGCAATACTATCAAATGTATACTTATGTTATCGGTTTTGTTATGGAACCATCGAATGACTCGACTTATGGAACTATCCATAATTATCCACAAATGGTGTATTGACACGTGTCCTGCAATAAATACACATAGGACACGTGTTAATACATAAAGTTATGGATGACTCCAAAAAGAAGCCATCTGATGGCTCATAGATTTACTGCTTATGTTTATGTTGTTTTTCAGTGTGTGGTATTTTAATTAATTTCTAATAAAAGTATGTATATTTATGAGAAAAATATGCCGACCTAACGGAAGACCTATTGTTTTCATATTTATTTGGTCACGTATAGAGTAGGGAATTTCACCAAGGGACTGGTCGATTCAATTTATTACAAAGTACTAAGTTTCTCTACAATTAATGTATGAGTTACGAACCGAAGATAAACAACACCTCAACATTTGAATGTGCCACATCTAGTGAGAAGCTTTAATGAGTACTTGCATTATGAAGGTAGCTAAAAAAAATAGGCTAGCATAGGTAACATTCTTAGGGGTGATTGTTTAAAAAAAACAACCACCAAAAAGTCATATCTCAACTCAAATCTAACTCTTAACTCAACGTCACTATTCTTAATATTATTAAATAATACCAATCAATCATCCATACACACCACATCAATTTTAATTCACTATTCATTCTCTCACATAATTTTTACTACCCATCACTTCCAATCATATCTCTTCTATTTTTAATCAAATCAACTTTAATTATTTTATTTTAATACAATCTCAAAATCCCACTCAACTCTAACCCAACTAACCTTTTCAAAATTAACTATGATTAACCAAAGAAACCAATCAAAACCAAATTAGTCTATAAACAAGCACACCCTTAGCAAGTCTTTCCCATATGTAAGTAGTAAGCAGGCGAGTAAATAGGTAGCAATATTGGCCTCACCTAAGACCCTTTGGTCAAGTTCCAATTTCATCAAGACACGAATATATAATATAAATAACTCAAAACATTCACTTCAAGAAAATTGTTTCGTACAATCAATTTATCGCTACTATAACATTTCAATACTATTTAACCGCACAATTGATCCAATCGAGCTCATCACAGTGCATGCACTTCTAATTCCAAACCACAAACTTAAAAACATACCTTACTAATAGACAAGAACCTTTATTTATTATTCATGGGGGCAATGTAGATTGAGGTGCTCCAGGACCCTGCCAAATAAGTCTGAGCATTACTGGAAAAATGACAATGAAAGACTAATCATAACTTGCCATACAATACACCAACATTGCCACAACTTATTTCATTTTAATTTAACTTTCCACACATTACTCAGAACATAATCATATACGAACAAACAAATATACGGCAAACATATTCGAAAAGGGAAAAAAAAACAGAAACTCGATCAATATTACCACAACTCACGTATCAATACTCTCTGAAAGTGAGATTTAGACGGCCAGGTCTAAGATCCGTTTCATCCAAAAGAGCCTTAGGTGCACTATTAGCAACAATCTGACTGACCCCATGAAATATCAACCTAGATTTACCACCGAAAATTAACACGTCCCCTGACTCCAGTAATACTTTTTCAGCCCGTTCAATGTCCCTCTGCTCCCCATACAGAAATTCAGCCGAGTCCCCTATAGAGAAAGACACCACCGGAAGTCCTTTGCGTAGACTTTCTTCACTTTCATCTTTATCCTGCAACACAGGAAATAAATAAACAACTATTAGTTAACCTTTAGAATCAATAACGTAAAAATACCATGTATTAGGAAGTATTAAACATACTAACCTGATGAAGCCCGAGTTGTCCGGACTTGGTGTAGAAATTGACGATGCAGATATTTGGGGACACTGAAGGAATAATATTCCGCTCTTTCCTTACTTTGGGTTGTGATTCCAAATGACTATGGCACTCTTGAAGAGCCCCTTGAACCAATTTCAATAAATCGCCCGGGATTGGGGGAGGTTTGGAGTCATCAACGGGCCTCCTGTCAACGTACATGTTTGTCTCGGGATCCCAGTTTTTACCAAGACACATCATTTTCAATTTTAATATTGCTCCAGTACGAAAACCAGGTTGGTAAAAACCTCCTCGACCGCGACCAAGTTCTCGGCATGTCTTTATCAGTTTGACCTAAATAGACATAGAAAACCCCAGATGGAATTTGAGCATAGGGATATAAGTTGCTTAACGAACCATTCAAGGAAGCAGTGACAAAACAAAAATAGCAAGGATTAGTACTAAGTTAACTCTTCTTCTTAAGCATTTATTGTATTCTTTTCTGCATGTCCGTATAAAATAAATGAGCAATCTATCAACCGGATTTTCTACTTTTTCCTTTTCCTTTTCTTGGGAATGGGGGCCCGATTGAGCAAGTTACTCCCTCACCACTGCACTGCATATTCCCCATCATCTAATCCACACAACTACAATTATCCAGAAACAGATCGATAAAGTAAGTTTGATAATCTTGATCAACCCTCTCGAGCCCAATTACAGTCTAAATTAAATAAACTATAAATAACGCAGATACGACTACACAGCCGCATTGGGCATTCTATCACAGAATACAATCTCTAACCAAATTCGACAAATATGTTATAAAAAGATAGAAGAAACAGTGCAAATACAGGGCAAACAGTACAAAATACGAGGTAAACTCACCTGATCCTCTAACAATATATAACCCTTTAGAATAATCATCCCAGGCCTCAAAATCTTTACGTAATCGCCTTGCTCACGACGCTTCAATTCACTCCTCGTGATTCGGTTTTTATCAAATAGAGAGCATTTCAGCTTTGGAATTGTCATATCTCTCTCCAAACATATATCAAAAGGAAAACCATTTTCTTGAGAATCGGACTTCTCAAATTCAACTTTCCCAGAAGTTTCCATGTGAATATCTTGAAAACCAGAGTTCACAGCTGATGAAGGTCCCATTTTGCTATCTGTTACACCACCAAGTAGGTTGGGGCTTAAACATGAGGATTCTCTCTGTTCCTCACCAGTCCTTGCATTAAACTCTGTGAGGGTCGGTAATGATATGGGATCAACTGTAAATGGTACTAATGGTTCTGGCGTCTTGATTTCTGCTAGTGATTCATTCGGGCTTCTATTAGTTGGAGGCATGCTTCCAACTCGACTGGTTACAGGATTAGGCCCGTACGGCTGACCATTTGTAGAAAACCCACTCAATTTATTTGTTACATCATCAACAGGTGATGTATGAGAATTTTTTCTTTCGGTTTCAGAAGACCCATTTTCTTGTGACGCGTGGTCCTGATGAGCTACAACCTGAAACCTTGAAATAGTAAATGCCAATGGCTGAATACTAATCTTATACCTAGTTCCTTCTAGCATATTAGTTCCTCAGATGGTCCTTAATACATATAATAAACACACAACTTACATACACAATAACACAGAATAATACCACTCTTTCCACTGTTTTACCTTACTTCTATCACATTCATTCATTTGTATTCAAACTTCGAAAACCTCATCATCAAATGAAAAAGGTCTCAATCTCCATGCAAAATTATAAATTCCTGTATAATTTCTACCCAAGTAGGGTACAGTGACAAGTCTACAACTTCCCATCATAATTACCAATAATTTTTTCAATGTGTGAACAGAAAAAGGTAAAACAATACGCAATCAATGAAGATCTAACATACTTGTCACATATGAAAAACGAAAGAACAAACCGATATAAAAAAAACGAATGAAACGGGTCAATAAGGAGGTGATAAAAATTACAGGGCTGTGACGAGCGACATATCGATAAGGCGATTGCCCTCTGGATCCCTGGTACCTCCAGCCGCCACCTCCTGCGCCTCCATGATATCTCCCGCCACCACCTCCTCCGCCGCCACGGTTCCTTCCGCCGCCGCGACCGCCATAGTGCCTTCCTCCACCACGTCCGCCGCCGCCACGGTTGCCTTCACCTGCAGAGCTCATGGGAATCAGGGGCTGAAACAAACTAAACAAAGAATTGGGGGAATCTGAAGAGATTGAAAGAGTGATTAGCGCTTATATAATTTTCTCACGCGGGAATTGGAATAGGCGGAGTTAGCACAATTAAAATAATAAATACTTGAAGGAATTAGCATAGTTGAGTTGAGAGGGCTCTTACGAGTCGGTCGTGAGTTCACTCAACGCATTGGATAAACGAGGTGAGCTCGAGTCGGGTTCATTAATATTGACGAATTTGAGCTAGTTTAACGACTTGTATAGTTAACGATCCAATAAACGAGGTGAGCTCGAGTCGGGTTCATTAATATTGACGAATCTGAGCTAGTTTAACGACTTGTATAGTTAACGATCCAAGTTTAGCTCAACTTCTAGGCTCATTAAATTTGAGAAACAAACTAAGCTCGAACTCGTTTATTGACCCATATAGTTAACGAACTGAGTTTAGTTCAACTTGAGTATTTATAACTCGAGCGCAAATCTATCCATATGATTTCTATGGTTGCAAAAGATTGGCATTGTCGAGAACTCGAGTTAATCTAAAGTTACCATGTTCTGCTTAGAATTTTCTAGGTTTTTTTCTTTTCTTTTCTGTTTCGAACAATTGTTGCTTAAACTTGATTTAATAGGTCAAACTTGTTAAAAAGCTCGAGTTTATCTCATAAACTTCTTTAGATAGTTTTCCAAATAAGTCCGTTGAAATTTTTATTTCAACTAATTTTACCAAACACTTTTATCATCTAAGTGAGTTTTTCAACCATAAGTCATAAATTATCAGCTATAAACTCAAAAGTGTTGAGTCTAAATGGTTGGCTCGCACACTTCGGAGGTTTACTTGAAAATAAATTATATTTATATTTATAACAATAATAATTTTTTTAATATTAATTAGAAAAATAAAATTATTTATCAATTAATATATTTATAAACAACAGGTAATTCATTAGAAACATCTTTTATTTTTTTTTATTAATAAAGGGCTCGAGCTGTTATGTTAAATAGGTATTGAAAAGAGTGGTTTCGGGGGTTAAACCGTACGACCTCTCTTTAAAAGTGAGATCTATACAATCTTCTCGATAACATGATGTTTAAACATTTATAATAAATTATTATATTTATTGACTTTAAATCCACCTTGTTCTTGCATCTTGTAGGTATTCAAATAATGGATAAAGAAAATGCAAAACTTATTAGACATATTAGAATGGCGAAAATGAAAGAAAAACGTGGACTATCTCCTGGAGGCATTGAAACTATTGTTTCGGGTGAGTATATTTTATGGGACTCTTTTAAATTTTGTATTATATATAATAATTGCAGCTTATAAAGTGCACGGGTAAGAGATATTCATCCCCCTTAATATAATTCAAAACATGTTGAGCCTAAATGGTTGGCTCGCACGCTTCGGAAGCTTACTTGGAAATAAATTGTATTTATCCTTATAACAATAATAATTTTTTTAATATTAATTAGAAAAATAAAAGTATTTATCAATTAATATATTTATAAATAAAAAGGTAATTCATTAGAAACATCTTTTTAGTTTTTATTATTAATAAAGGGCTAGAGTTGTTATGTTAAATATGTATTGAAAAGAGTGGTTTCAGGGGTTAAACCGTACCACCTCTCTTTAAAAGTGGGATCATATACAATCTTGTCGATAACAAGCTGTTTAAACATTTATAATAAACTATTATATTTATTGACTTTAAATTCACCTTGTTCTTGCATCTTGTAGGTATTCAAATAATGGATAAAGAAAATGCAAAACTTATTAGACACATTAGAATGACTAAAATGAAAGAAAAGCGTGGACTATCTCCTGGAGGCATTGAAACTATTGTTTCAGGTGAGTATATTTTATGGAACTTACTTTTAAATTTTGTATTATATATAATATGCAACTTACATAATTATAAATTAATATTTTATTTATGTAAAATGCAAACAGTATATATTTCTTTGATTTTTCTTATATATTCGATGTCAGACACTCTATCTAGTTAAGCAAGAAAGTTCAGAAAGTCCTTTATAGATGCAAGGCGACAAAACGGCATTCAGTGTAAACAACTGATTTTTTAAATGCAATAAAATGCTCTGGAGTTCCTAATCACATCTTAAAATTGAAAGCTGGTATTCCCGTAATGCTGCTTCGAAACATGGATCAATCTTTTGGGTTGTGTAATGGCACCAGGTGAGTGATTACTCGACCATTCTTTTATTTTATTTTTTTGCATTTATACATTTCTAAATCTTAACTAATTTATTATCTATCGTTATTGTAATGTTATTACTTTTTAACAACAACAACAACAACATAGCCTTTTAGTCCCAAGCAAGTTAGAGTAGGCTAGAGATGAAATCCAAGAGAACCAATGGTAAGAGAAAACACAAAAAAGACTCAAAACAAAAGGAAAAGATTGAAGCAAAAGAGAAATGAGCAAAAGTCACGGTTCTGGCACGTTGTTTGCTAGTCTCCAAGCGCTCCTATCCACCGCTAAATCCTTGGAGATATTCCAATCTTTAAGGTCTCTCTTAACCGACTCTTTCCAAGTGAGCTTAGGTCGACCTCTACCTCTCTTTACATCATCGACCCGCTGTAGAACTCCTCTACGCACCGGTGCATCAGGAAGCCTCTGTTGGACATGTCCGAACCACCTCAGCCGATGTTGAACCAATTTCTCCTCAATTGGAGCCACCCCGACCCAATCTCGAATATACACATTCTGGATTCTATCCCTTCTTGTGTTATTACTTTTTAATTAGAACGAAAAACTGATAACTTTAATAAATAATCATTATTTATTTTATAGGTTGTGTAATGACACCAGGTTAGTCATCACTCGACTTGGAGATCGCATTGTTGAGACTAAGGTTCTATCGGGAAGGAATATTGGGAACAAAGTACTTATTCCGCGGATGTTATTGACTCCTTTTGATGTGAGATTGTCTTTCAAGTTTCAACGAAGACAATTCCCACTTATGGTTTGTTTTGCAATGACTATTAATAAGAGTCAAGGACAGACATTGTCTAACGTCGGATTGTACTTGCCTAATCTTGTATTCAGTCATGGTCAACTTTATGTTGCATTATCTATAGTTAAAAGTATGAGAGGCTTGAAAATTCTGTGTTGTGATAAAGATGAAAAAATTGTAAATAAAACTATTAATGTAGTATACAAAGAAATTTTTCAAAATTTGAAATAATATCAACTTTGATATTTTCTATTTTTGCACTTTTATACGACAACATGTATTTTTTCTATTATTTTATGTTTTATTTTTTTTTTCAAACAACCCGTGTAGTACACAGGTATCGTACTAGTATTTATTCATAATAAATAATAAATAGATTGTTAAATATCAAAATATTGTTCTATATATATAGATGACACAAATAAAAATGAATATTAATAATAAGAACTAATAAGAATGAAGTGCAGATGATATTAGGAATAATTTGATGATAAATGCTCTTTTAATCGACTGAATAATAGCTAAATTAATGAAAAGAAACACAATCTCCACATCCCATTTTTATATTACTGATGATTAATGATTAATCTATATTTACTTATAACTGAAACATACCCCATTTTGCAACTTAATGGAACTGCAAAGCATACAACGGGCAATGGAAAATTCTATTTCTCATCCACATATTTAAACCCACAAGCAGCAACTTTAAAAATCATTACTGGATTCAAATTTTCATGTACAAAAACAAAAAAACCAGCACCATTTAACAAAAATTGCACAGAAGACCGAACAAAACAAGAAGACACTCTCATCAAACAAAATACGAAGTACACGTTACAACATACAGTAGCCCCAGAAACCAATATCCCTAAACACAAAAAAACCTCACAAAAACATCCTACAAAGTCAGAAAAGAGAGAAATAACAAAAAAAAAAAGAAAAATGGAAAACCGAAAAACTCGACCAGCGATTGATCACAAGACGGCCTAATTAAACAAAGTTTTCACACGAAACACGGTGAAAGAAAGACTGAAAGGGAAAAAAAATTAAATTACTAATAATACATGAGCTGCTGAGGAGCTACACGTGCAAGCTGCCGCTCGTAAGCCAGAAGATCGGCTGCCAAAAGTCCTGGCAGGGTCGCCGGAGCCGGTGGCGGAAGAGGGTTGGAGGCCGTCCCGTGTGGAGTCGGCTTGTTTCCCCACGAACACTGTGCAAAAGCCAACTCGTGTGGTAACATTTTTCTAGTGAGGGTACAAGATAAAACAAAAGCCAAGATCTGCCTCGAGAATTACCTTAGGTTTTTTGAATTAATTCTAGGATTGCTCAGAAGTATCCCTAAAGATTTTATTTCATCTTTTAAACGGTACACTTACTATTCCACATTTCTATAAGATAAATAATTCCAATCTCGTATGTCGCATATTATGAAAATACTACATGTGGCTCTTTCGTTTTAAACACACAATTGACTTTTTTTTTTTTGGTAATTTCAAGATAGGTCACTCCTTATGGCTATGTTTGGTAAACCTAGCTTATCAATCTAGCTGATAAGCTAGCTTATAGTTTTCAAGTGAATTTCGAGCTTATAGTTGATAGCTTATAACTTATGGATAAAAAGTTAGCTTATATGATAAAAGTATTTGTTAAAATTAGCTAGTTGAAATAAAAATTTCAACAGGCTTACTTGAAGAGCTACCAGGATCATAAAAACTTATGTGATAAGCGCGAACTTTTTAAAATAACTCGTCTTACCAAAATAAGCTTATTTAAATAGAGGAAGTTTATAAGCTAATCAAATAAGCTAAGCTTATATGCTTACTAAACACAACTTATATCATCCTTGTTACAAAAAAGTTAGTTAGTGTGCTAAATTCTTGAATATGCCAGAGTCAACTAAGAACTTATGTATAGGCAAATGAACTGTTTGTATACTAATAAGTAGGAAAACAAACCTTGATCTGTTTGCCGTACATGTACGACTGAGTATTTCCCATTGAAATAGCCATAGCAGCCTCTGCATGAGTGCTGTACCTAACGAAACCAAACCCTTTGTCTCGTTGGACTCTAACTTCCTCAATTGATCCAGCACCAAACGCATGGAAATGGCGATGAAGGTCAGCTTGGGTCACCTGAAAAACCAAATCAAGACAATGTGAAAAATTCCAATTTTAACGGTTTACAGTCAAAGAAATTTTGTACTTGCCTCTGGAGCAAGATTCCCAACATACACGGTGGTGTATTGAGGGTTATTCTCAGGAGCATCACTACTAGTAGCCTCTTTAACATCATCTGTAAGAGGAGAAAATGTTCAATGAACAACTACACTCAATAGTTCAAAGTGAAGAGTAATACAAACACAGAGGAGAAAAAAATTTTGAAGGCCAATTAAATTCTCTGTGTCACGCCCCCCACACGGGATTGGACGGGGACGCGACACCAAGCAGTACTATGATGAACAATAAATAATAACAAGAAAATAAAACAACAATTCGGACTTAGTTCGGTGATAATAAGTTTGATAGTTGGGATACAAGTCATACAACATGATCTGAATAAATACAAATTATAAACTGACAGCGAATTAGTCTCAGAATAAAACAAGTACCAAATGACAATGGATAATACTGAGTCTCAATTTTAATAACATCCCAAAATGACTTTTATTTAAGACCATGCTAACAATAAAGAGGCCAGAGGCCAGGTGGCAAATTTTTCTTCCACCATGGTTGGCTCCTCATCTGGGGGGTTTCAATATACAAAATAGGTTGGGTGAGACAAAAACTCTCAGTCAGGTGAGTGTGTGCAATGTGGCTTGATTTTTCAAGAAATTGTGATTTATGATAACTATTAGCATTCACATATAATCAAAGCATAGACATTCTTCAAGGAAATTAACATCAACATGGACAGGGAAAACACTTGAAAACTACCCTGTCCACGGACCTATCAATAATACTATCATCCAAAACATTTACAATAATATCATCCGAAACAAGTGTCAACAAACAACATCGTCCATGGTGCGATAAGTAAAAATAAAAATCCTACAACAACAACAACATACCCAGTATATTCCCAACAGGTTGGGGTCTGGGGGGTCAGTTGTACGCAGACCGTACCCTTGTAATTATACAAAAAGGTTGTTTCCATAGTAACCCAAGGCGCATTGCGCCGTTTGATATATTTTTTTTTTCTAGAAACTTCACTAATAGAAGAAGCACTAGAATTTAATTGAGCCATTTTGATCTAGTCCATTATTAGCACTATGCCAGGAGAATTGTCAATAATGACTCTTCCAGCTCCATTTGCAATGGACAAAAAAAAATAATAATAATAATAATCCTAATCAAAGCAATTCTTGGGTGGTCAATCGTCATCCGACTCATGTGCAGGCTGAGGTCCATCAGTCGAAGTTGGTCTCTGAGCGGCTGTCAGTACCATCCCTAGAGTCGATGTGGTAGGTTGTTGGTAGACGTGCCTCTGCTATAAGTTGACACTCAAGAATGTCAATCCGCTGACCTCCTAAAGAGACCCGTCGACGCAGCTTTTCTGCTTCCATTATAGCCATTACATCCTCCTTCAGCTTCAGTTGAGGCTCCAAATTCGTCACCTTAATATCAAGTCCCGCTATCTGATTCCTTGTCAACTAGCTCCTGCTCCATTTCCTCACACCACTCCTGCTGGTAATAATGTTCGGCATGATGTTCCACCTGATTTAGTTGTGCCTCCAATTGTTCAATCAACACCTTGCTGCCCTCAAGATGATTAACAATTCTTGACAATAAGAAGAGTGCATCCCTACGATTTGTTGAGTCTCAGTAAGCTGAGGTGCTGCTCCAAATCGTGAACGCGCTCCACTTGCGCGAATAGCATCTGGTGTTCGTTCTCCCACTTATTCATCCATTGTTGCAGCGTCTCTTCTAGATTCTCTCATACGTCAAAAAAGAACAGAAAGAAGTAGACCCCTTCCCACATCCTCATTGCCCGGGCCCACACAATGGAATGAGTGGGAGAACAAACACCAGATGCTACTCGCGCAAGTGGAGCGCGTTCACGATTTGGAGTAACAATTCAGCTTACTGAGGCTCAACAAATCGTAGGGATGCACTCTTCTTATTGCCAAGAATTGTTTAATCATCTTGAGGACAGCAAGGTGATGATTCAACAATTGGAGGCACAACTGAATCAAGTGGAACATCATGCCGAGCATTATTACCAGCAGCATTAAATGGAGCAGGAGCGGTGTGAGGAAATGGAGCATAAGCTAGTTGACAAGGAACATCAGATAGCGGGACTGAATAATAAGGTGAAGAATTTGGAGCACCAACTGAAGTTGAAGTTGAAGGAGGATGTAATGGTTGTGATGGAAGCCGAAAATCAAAAGCTGCGTCGACGGGTCTCCTTAAAAGGTCAGCGAATTGACATTCTTGAGTGTCAACTTGCAGCAGAGAGGCATGTCTCCCAATAGCGCGACTCTAGTGATGAGACTGACAGTCGCTCAAAGACCAACTTACACCTGCGCCATGTGATCGTAGTAGATAGTTCCGAGGAAGACCCAGAGGAGGACATGATGGAGTCGGATGACGATTGACCACCCAAGAATTGCTTTGATTAGGATTATTATTTTTACTACTTGCTTGATTATCGCACCATGGACGATGTTGTTTGTTGACTTATGTTTTGGATGCTATTATTGTAACTGTTTTAGATGGTATTATTATTGATACATCCGTGAATAGGGTAATTTTCAAGTTTTCAAGTGTTTTCCCATGTTAATTCCCTTGAAGAATGTCTATGCTTTGATTATATGTGAATGCTAATAGCTATCATAATTTATAATTTCTTGAAAAATCAAGCCACACACTGGCACCCACTCATTGATAATTTTTGTCTCACCCCACCTATTTTGGATTTTGAACTCCCAGACGAGGAGCCAACCAAGACAAACTCTGGAGAAGAATTTGTCAACTGAATCCTGGCCTCTTTATTGTTAGCGTGGTATTTTGGGATGTTATTAAAATTGAGGCTTAGTATTATCCATTGTCATTTGGTACTTGTTTTATTTGAAACTATGTTGCTGCCAATTTGTAATTTGTATTTATTTCAGACCATGTTATATGACTTGTATACCAACTATCAAACTTATTATCACTGGACTAAGTCTTAATGGTTGTTTTATTTTCTTATTATTATTTTTGTATTATTTATTGTTCATCAACTGCTTGGCGTCACGTCCCCGTCCAATCCGGTGTTGGGGCCGTGACACTTTGTCAAAACAAAAACAATATAAGTCAATTTAATAATGAAGTGTGTTTTGCGAGAGGTGTCATGAAATGTCAGTAATCAGAAAACATAGGCCAACTAAAATGGAATATCAACATATTTTTAATATATTATGATCTTCTTCTTCAGCTTAATGATAATTCTCATATTCGTGAGCTACAACAAATTACTCTTGTTAGGTTGAAAAGTTCAAGTAGGTAATATAGCTGAACTTGACTAAATCTACCAAGATTCCAACAATCACATCACATAACTGGCTTATTTTCCCTTGATCAGCCTTTTAATGCAGCTAACAATGCAGTTAAATGCAATTACAGTATCTTACAATTATAGTCTTACTGTCTTCTTTGTTCTTTTTAATTTTATTTATGCCCTCATCACAATCCCAATGCAACTCAACGTAATATTTCCTCTAAACTTGCTAACCTGTGGAGCCATTTGTAAGTTCTACAACACTTTTAGCATCTGAATTTGCCTTTTCATCACTGGTTCCAGCACCTTTGGTGGCCCAGTTGCACCGAATCTGCCTGCTGCCAAGCCATTTTCCTGAAGAGTTGCCACATCAACGAACATTATTTCTTATGAATAAACCAGCCAGACACAGAAAAACAAGTATACATTTCCAACAAGAAAAAGAAAAGATAAAAAGAAATTACTCAAAATAGTTCTCACCAGATAATTCATTTATTGCACTTTGAGCATCCTGTGTAAAAAGACCCAAATAGTCAACTTAAGTCACTGATATTCTTATTTGGACAATTTGAATAAAGTCACACAAACAAACCTCCTGATTCCGGAAAGACACAAATCCAAAGCCCCTAGAACGTCCAGTCTTTTGATCCCACATAACCTTTGCATCACTAAAACAAATAGAGAGACAATTAGCACCTACATCAAGCTACTAAGCACATGGCACTTGAGAATTTACTTTGACAAACTACAAGATACAAAAATGTGGTCACTTCCCATCTTACAACTAAATTTGAAGAATTTGGACCCATTGTGTTCAAGCGAGTGGGTGCCGCACACACACACACAGAGACTTACGAGCAACTAGGATACACTGAGAAGCAAGCAAGCAACATGGCATCATTAACCTCTGGGCTGAGATCCCCAACAAAGATGTTGAAATGGCCTATATAAGATCATTGAAATTAGACCCATATTTACCAAATTGGTATATATATGTGTGTGTGTGTGTGTCAATGCTCAAAAAACAAACAAAAGAAAAATAAAATAGAATAAACAAAAAAGTGAACCCACCTGATGTGTCCTCCTTCTGACCACTGGCATATGCCCAGTTAACTTTAATCGGTTGCCCAAACCTGCAAACCAAAATCAATCAGTGTTACATATTAAAAAAAACAATTGAAAATGAGCACACTAATAATCTGTACTTACAGATGCCTTCCATTGAGGGACAATATTGCAAGTCCAGCTGATCTTCGGTCAAAGTAATGAATAAATCCATAGGACGACTGCACATATCAAAAAAGACGATTGTTCACCAATACCATCTCATGAAAATAAACCAAATTTTTTTGAAGCCACTATTTACAAGAAAAAAAATACTGCAGAAAGATGGGGGCACCTTCTCTTTCCTAATAAGCTTGCAGACCTCCACAGGACCAGTACTAGCAAAAACTTCTTGAAGCAATGGTTCCGTCACCTGTATGTGAATATTTCCCACATATCTGCATTTTTTCAAAAATGAAATAGCTAAAAGTTAAAACCCAACAAT